TGGGGATACCGATTCATTATACCTTGTTTGTCCAGAAGAATATTTCTGAGAGTGTGATGAGAAATACATTTCAGAAAAGATATCGAAAGAAAAGTACTGGGAGGAGATGGTGAGAATATCTATGGAGGCAATGAGCAGACTGCGAGGCGAAGTTAATGACTTTCTCAGGAAAGATAACGGTTCCCCTTATCTCAAAATGGCATATGAGGAAGTCTTATTCCCAGTAGTATTTACTGGAAAGAAAAAATACTATGACATTCCACATACAAGTAAGCCTAACTTTAATAATAAGCTTTTTATTCAAGGGGTTGAGACTGTAAAGCAGGGGCAATCTAGACACTTTCGTGAGGTGAGTAAGAAGGTTATGGAAGAATCTATAAGACTGGATAATGATAATACTCGTACTTTGCATCAGATTGTGGAGGATGTGCTCAAAGAGATCATAAATAATATTTCACAGATAGATCTTAATGGAGTAGTTAAAATTGCTGTGTGGAAGCCCGATAAAAATAACAAGAGTGTCCAGCATTTCATTTCATGAATGTCAAGTAGACACACTCGTGAAGAAGTAGATGCCAAATGATGCATAAAAAAGGGCCTAACACCTGAGCCTTATCTTTATGAAATCCCAGAACCAGGCGAACGATTTGAATATATTGTAGTTGAGAATGAATCGTCACAGAAGATAGGAAATAAAATGGAGTATCCAGAGGTAGTGAGGCGATTAGGTAAAAAGATCGATATCAGCTATTATCTGAAAACTGTCGTTGGCCTCTGTGCACGGTTTATTAACTATGATGAAAGGCACCAGCCGTCATCTGAAATTGTGCAGGGGGTCTTAAAAAAGTTAAAAGATGCTAATAAAGTGGGTGAAAATAAAGTGGATGATGGTGGAATGAATGAAGACGACCTGGATGAAGACGAAGAGAATGAAGACAAAATAGTTGAAGATGAGGTATCAAAAATAAGAGATGCCTTAGCGCAGAAATCAGCTGAGAAGTGGATTAGGAGGTATATCAAAAATCTACGTTATGGTCCAAAAAAAGATAAAACCATCATATCTCATTTATAGGAAGGTGCACGTATTTACGTGAAAAAATTATTTGATACTACTTATGCCAACAAGGGAGAACGCTTGACTAACAATGCTTATTGCCAATTCTACATAAATGCATTAGATAAGCAAGAAGAATCCATCCGCCTAAAACTTTCATCATTACTTAAAGAAATTTCTGAGGTTGATATAGGGTATAGAGAAAGTATGTATAAATTAGTTACTAAGAAGTGATCAATGTCCTTAGAACAATATTTAATATATTATTTGGATGAGTGGGTCCCAAAGGGACCGTGTAAGCTACTAGAAGATTTCCGAAACACATGATACAAAGTAGTTGGCCTAGAAATTACACGCTATCAAATGTTATCAAAGTTACAGGATGATAAAAAAGATGATTCGTTTGAAGCGAATATAGACAAGATCATCGAATTATATGGTTAAGTACTTCACTAATGGTCCAATATTAGCGATACTTATACAATATTAATAATATTTTTTCATACATAAATAATATCAAAGTTTAAATAGAAAGTTCCTAATACCTGGCCCATGCATCCCATAACCGATCACTCTTTTTACCTATATTCTATGTGCATTTCAATATAACAATAACCGCAATAATTAACAGAATAAGAAATATATATGCTGATAGCAGTGACATCAAAGAGGGAGTATATGTCTTTGACACTAGGCAGAGCCTATAATTTTCTGGCAGTGTAAGGTAAGGAGTTATATTTGGTATTTCTTGAAGTATATTGTTAATTTTGCTAATATCGATTTCATCACTTCCTTTAGAGTTGATCTCAATATCATTTTTGGATAGTTCAGTAATCTCATCATGCCTCTTTGAGGTGCCTAAAGGCCTGGTATATGTCTCGACATCACCATCGATTTTCTCTATGACTTGAAGAGTCGCTCCTAAAGGACCTAAATCCATATTTTTTCTGTGTACTAAATATTTACTAAGATTATTAGGTTCACTAATCGCAGATATTTCATCAGAATTTGATAGGAAAGTCTGTTCACTGCCTTGTATATTTTTTTTGTCATCTTCACCAATTATAGGTTTCGATATATTTTCCGATTTTAGATGCTCCAACTCACTAACTTTAGAGGTTAGTTCATGTTTCATTTGTTCTAATTTAGTTATTTTAGACTTGAGGGATAATATCTTGGATTCTTTTTTCGATGAGTTATTTTGAATCGAAACTACATCTTTCTGGGCCGAAGACAACTTACCTTCCAATATCTTGATTATAGACTCAAGTGATTTGATTTTCTTGGATTTTGTAATATTCCCAGCCTTAGATTCGGCAAGAGAAAGATCTTTACGGATATTCTCAGAGGTAAGGCTAGTATTTTTGATTTTTAATTGCTTGGTCTCACTAATAAGTTCTAAAGCGTGGGTATGTAACTTCTGTTTATTGCTATTAACATTACTAAATACATTCTCCCATTGTTTTCTTTTCCAGTTCCAGCCTTTTCTCTCCCGATCAAAATCCTTCATTTGCTTAGAATATTTATTCTGTAATTTCTTGCTAAGGTTATTGATTTCGGTTTTGGATTTGAGAGCAGTATATAATTTTTCTTCTAGCTCTTGCTTACGCATACTACCAAGTCGATGGCCTTTAATATTTTGTAATGTATGAACATTAGCCATATTAAGAATAAATAATATACAAATAATAAAGCTAGTTTCATTAATAATTTCTATTATTATTTAATGTTAAACATCATAGACTATTAAAAAATTATATTAGATACCATTTTTTCTCATATATTCGAAAATAAATTCTATATATCTGGCTTTAAGTTTATATGCGAGAAAGTAGTGTAATGTTTCTTATTCATCTATAACAATAAATATTATTTTTTTATTATACCGTAATAATAGATATTGTTTTTTATTATTTAAAAATATTAAATATTATTCTGAATATTCAGTAAAAATCGGACCATGAATATACCATTTTTAAAATTATATTATCGTGAAAAATCTACATATCTAACTTCTGAGCAGATAGAAACAATTAGATCACTCAAAGGTAAGGTACCTAAATATAGAATTATGAGAGATTTCCATATTAATGAACATCGAGTAGATGATATATGGGAAGATTGAGAGTGCCAACAACAAATAATATAAAGTACTAATTCCACTGAAATATTACCTATATCTAGACTAGTCTCATCAACTCCATCTGAAAATTTTAATCAAATCGGAAGAAAGACTTTATATACAGAATCTACTACTCCTCTTAATATAGAAATAAAAAAGAGAAGTTCCAAATCTCGATCTAAATCCGTTCATATATCTGATCCAATACCTATTAATAACTTTAATGCAGTAGTATCTATATTTAATGAAACAGAAAAAATAAATTGTGAGGATCTGGGTGCATTATATGAAAAAGAATCCAGAAGAGATGAGAAAAATAAAGCAAATATGACTTGCCTATTAGCTATTACATAGATCTATCTTTTCTTTATTTATATTATCATCTCTGGAGGTAATATATTCAAGTAGCTTTCCATAATGTATTTGCAACTTTTCACAAAGATCATTTATTTCGGCCTTGGACTTGAGAGCAATATATAGTGTTTTTTCTAACTCCTTATAGTTCATGCGTTTTTTTTTAAAGTCTGCTTATCAAAATCTAAGCTAAGACCAGCAGGAGCATGCCATTCCCCCAACGGTATACTGTCATTTTCATCACTGTCCGTCTCCTGGGAAATTTGATTGGGCACTGAAGGCTTATTATCCTGGGATGCAGTGACACAATTTACTTCAAGCTTGTTCTTCACCTTGTGTATATTGATCGGAATAAAGAACTCCTTACCATTGCATACAAGTTTTAATTCCTGCCTTGATGCAAGTAAATTATAGTCATATTTGTCAAGCAACGTATTGGGTAAAATCAACATTGGCTTGGGATATTTAATCACTGCAAAATCAAAGTATATAGTACAACCAGAAGTAAAGTTTACTGATACATTTCGGATGGTTCCAAGAGATTCGGTAGGAATAGTAGCAATATCTCTGAGGTTGTGTTTATCTTTTGTATCAATTACCAACTTTAATCGTTTGGCTATATCTTCAGACATAATTGCAAAATTGGCATCCGGATCTACAGTGGCTGCCGGAATTACCAGTTGCTTGATTTTACATTTAGTGGTTATGACATCTGTAGCTGGCTCTTTTCTCTGGACAAAGTCTATCTCCATAGGATTATCCAATATCTCTTCCTCCCCATCTGATTCAGGTATGTCTGGAACTGGATCTCTATATCTCTTGGATTCTGATACCTGGGTTGTTGGTGCCGAATTGGATGGATTTTCAATATCAGATTTCAGTTTCTCTAACCAATGCGCAAGTAAAGCCTTCTCAAGCATATCCAATAAAATTTGATGAATACTCTGTTCAAGGGTGGTCGATTATTTCGGAACTTATTGCTTTGCAATGAGGCTCTGCCCTTACCAGAAGTGGAATTATCTTTCTGTTTCGTTTTGCAGGATTTAGATTTCTTCTTAGGTGTCGATTTATCTGATTTACTCTTCCGTTTTACTTGTTTTTTTTTGCAGTAGAAATATGTACATTATAACTATGTTCAGATTCAGCCTTGGATTCTTCAGAGCTTGAACCTGTCTCAAAATTAGATTCAGAATCAGAATTATCAGAAGAGTTTGTACCAGAGTCAGAGTTCACGGTAACCTTATTGACATTCTTTTTGGATCTATTCTTGGACCTTTTCTTTCTGAGACACTTGCAGGAATTATGCCCAGTTCTATGGCATTTTGAACAACAGTGTTTGGATGATTTATTAACGGCATTAATGCCTGCCTCAATACCTTTTGCTATAGCCTGATTTATTGACAATCCAGCTATACCTTTTGTGATTTCATCAATGTTATCAGTATTGGAGGGGGTATCTTTTTTCTTTGATTATATCGACTTTGCCAAAAACATATCTGACAATTTTTTATAAAGATCATTGGCTAGAGATTCCATAATTTGACTGGTTGAAGAAATTGGATTCATGATATCAGCATGAATAAATCTTTCAGAATTTATGCCATACCCATCTGGAGGCCTTTCTGGCATATATTTATCCGGCACTCTAGGATAATTATCAGAATTAGATTGCATTTGCTGAGATTGTTGAACTTGTATTTGCTGAGATTGTGTAGACACCATAATATTTTTTACCAGATTTTCAATTTGTTCTTTAGTCATTCCCGATTTGTTAGTATCTATATAAGGGTTGGCCGCTGGAAAAATTGAAAAAGAAGATGGTGCACTTGCTTGAGATAATGTGAATTTTTCTGCCTCAGCTAAAGCTTTTGTAATATTGTCTTGTGTATTATCAAATTTAGCCATCATACGAATATTGTATTGATTCATAGGATTCAAGCCACAAATAAATTGTTCTCTTTGTTGTTTAGGGGTCATTTCAGCGAGTTTACCAATTTTTTTGATTCTAGCAGAAAATTGCTTAACTGTCATATTACTCTGTGTGAGTTGACCAAAAACTGCCATATGTTTTAGATGTTCGACCATTGTATAGGCAGTTCTAACCAAATAGAAAAATTGTCCAAGAGTAATGTTAGGGGCAATTGTAACAGCAGGAAGACCTCCAACCGCATTTGGTACAACTGGTACATCATTTGTTGGCTCACCACCAGCTATAGACCAATCTTCTTCCCAAGTACCTGCCGGAATAATATCAGCACCTGTTGTGAGTCCTGCACCAATTCTGCCAATTTCTGCAGCTGCCTTATCTTGAAATTCCCCTGCAGTATTCAAATCACCAATTTGGTTACCACTATTTCTGGCAGCCAAAGCTCAAACAGCATTTAAGTCAGCTACTCCTAAATTATCCGAAAGATTATTGCATTTCCAGTTTCTACCCTTAACATGAGTTTCCCACCAAGTCAATGCAGGTTTAGCAAGCACGATATTACTAATCCTAATGCCTCTGCTTTTCCAGCAACTCCTCCAGCACCAGGGGTAATATTTATTCGACTAGTTACTATATATTTTTGCATTTCTCTAAGCCAATTTTCTGGATCCTCACCAGGATTTCCATGAAAAATTGGGGGTCCGTATCCTACCATACTTGTTTGATTATTATTTATATGCGGATTATTCTGAAGCGCTAAAATTTGCCCGCGTAAATTTAAAATTAATTGCCTAGCATCATGTGTTCTATTTTTCTATTTTTCATAGCTTGGAACAACACGATCGTACCAAAATTGTAAAAAAACTTTATCATGGTTACATTGTCGCAACTCCTGCTTTAGCTGATAAATAGATATATTATAGATAATTTCTAAAGTATATTTAACTCTAGACTGTTCATTCCATATTAAACTTGCATTATGCCATAAACATCCACGTATATCATATTTTTGTTGTAATGCTCTACCATGTCTTTGACATCTCTGAAGTTTAAAATTAAGTGCAAATTTATTCAATAATAAGGTATCAATATGTGTTTGCATTCCTCTTTCCAATTGTTGAACAATTTCCTACCAGCGACGCCGTTCTGCCTGTTCATTATTGAAAGCTATTGTCATCAAAGTAAGATCATTCTGAAAATTGTTACGTTCTCGGATAAGACGATTAACTTGATTTCGTAAGTTATCTCGTTCTTGGATAATTTGATTGACTTGGTCCTGAAAATTATTTTGAATCAGCTGATTAATTTGATTTTGCAAAGTGATATTCTGTTGCCTATAATCATTAACATCCTGCTGTAACTGAATTATCTGATTATCTCTGTCATCACGTTGATTCGTAATATCATCCAAATCCTGGTCTTTTCTTTGATAATTAGCCCAAATAATGTTTAAAGACTCACGAATTTCTTCTATAATATTGATGTGATTGTTTAGTAGTGTACCATCTCCAAAATAATTTTCTAGCCGATCCAACCCTCGCTCAATTCGTATAAAGAGGTCAAAATTTGCCATATGTGTATATAAAAGATCCGATGATTTTTTTTTAAACATGTTATGGCTTTTTTGATATAATATATTTGATTTATCCCCTGACCTCCACCAAAACATTTATAGTAGAATGTATCAAAAATGAGTATACCCACTATTATAATTAATCCTTATAAGGAATTGCAAATTGTCCTACATTTTATTTACTATAACATACCTGGATTCTATCCAAATAGTAAAAAATTGTGGAAAGCATGTCAGAAAGAAGGGTACGAACATTTCCAACTCAAAGATATTACAAAATGGTTGGAGGATCAATATGATTATCAAATATTTCTTACGCCACAAAAGTGCAAGGCAGAAACGAGTTTCCAGAAGATCAAGATACCCAATAAAGTTCATCAGTGCGATATATTAATTCATGTTCGTGATAATCAAGATGGTATGAGAATATTTGTTTGTAGTTTACTAGTAATTGATGTCTTAACTCATTTCAAGGCTGGATATTCATTGACATCAAGAAATAGCTTGGAAATTTGGATTGCGATTAAAGAAATATATGAAGATCCTACCAATCCTCTTACCTGGCCCACATTATTGATGACTGATGGTGATGCAAGTTTTTGTGGAGCATTCTCTCGAGGAATGGAACAGTATAATGTTGTTATAAGAGTTGTTGATCTTTACAGTTTCGAGAGTTTGGCATTTATTAAAGCACTAAAAAAGAATGTAGCAAAACTTATATATAAAATTCAATATGCTATCGAGGGGCGATTAATGGAAGGGGGAAGATCACAATTATGGGATAAAGCTTTTCAAAAAATTCTCACTTACATGAATAATAGTAAAACCCGTCTTATTGGTATGACACCATCCCAGGCTATGACTTTGAAAGAAGTTATATCGAAACCTTCTAGTAAAGCTAAAAGACCTATTGGAAAATACGAACAAAAATTACAGAAAGGTACTACAGTAAAGTACTACAGTAAGGTATTTATTAAAACCTGGCAAGCTAGAAGGAGATCACAGATATAGAGCGACTGATCCATACTGGTCATTGCGGATTTATAGAATCAAAAAAATTGTTGTCGGTAAAAATCCGCCACAGCTGGTCTTATATTATCTCGAGGATGAGCCTATCGAATCTACTGCTTATTTGATGGGACAGAATCCAAAAAGACCTTTTAAGAGGGAAGAACTCCAAGTTATCAAAAATCCTGAAAATATCCAGTATCCACCAGACGAATTTATACGAAAATATTATACTGGATTTGTTAACTTCATTCGTATTTCTAATAATGAAGCATCTCAGGTTGAGGAATATGCCAGAAAGCATGATAGGTATTGTATTATGAAAACCGGGCAAATAAATGGATTTGGTGTATATCTCTAATCATGTAAAAATGGAATTCATCAGTGGGAAGCGCCTTATAAGGTATTGGTACAGAAATTTGAGTGGTGTCTGGTTTGTCCTCATTGGAAAGAGAAGTGCTCTGCTAGATATACAATGTGTAACAAAACTTTTTGGAAATTTTTATTTATTCATTACTCAAAAACTACTGCATAGAAATTAATAAAAAATATATCAAAATAAAGCTGAAAATCTAG